AAATTTCTTTGTTTTGCTTTATAATTTATTAAACAATATAGTTTTAATTACACAAATTGTTTGTTTTCACTTGGGCCACTTTTTTCACTTTTGGTTTGCTTGTAATTTAACTATATAAAAATTTTGAAGCGATCCACCAAAGCTAAATGGTTCAAACCGATAAAGAGTAAAAAGTAAAAAATATTTTAACGACTAAAAAAATGCTCTTTGACGATCAATTTGTAAACTACAATTTTAAATGAAATTCTACTAAGAAAGCATTCTTTGTGCTACTAACAAAAGTTGTTCTTTAGATCGAAATAATGCCAGTTTCATAAAACAGCTTTGATTGTTTTTTTTAGTAAAAACCTTTGTTATAAAGCAAAACAAAAAATGCTCTTTGACGATCAATTTGAAAACTACAATTTTAAACGAAATTCTACTAAGAAAGCATTCTTTGTGCTACTAACAAAAGTTGTTCTTTAGATCGAAATAATGCTAGTTTCATAGAACGGCTTTGATTGTTTTTTTTTAGTAAAAACCTTTGTTATAAAGCAAAACAAAAAATGCTCTTTGATAATCAATTTGAAAACTACAATTTTAAATGAGATTCTACTAAGAAAGCATTCTTTGTACTACTAACAAAAGTTGTTCTTTGGGTCGAAATAATACCAGTTTTATAGAACGGCTTTGATTGTTTTTTTTTAGTAAAAACCTTTGTTATAAAGCAAAACAAGAAATATTTTTTGATAATTAATTTGAAAAGTATAATTTTAAATGAGATTTTACTAAGAAAGTATTATTTGTGCTACTAACAAAAGTTGTTCTTTGGGTCGAAATAATGCCAGTTTTATAGAACAGCTTTGATTGTTTTTTTAGTAAAAACCTTTGTAATAAAGCAAACAAGAAATGCTCTTTGATGATTAATTTGTAAACTACAATTTTAAACAAAATTCTACTAAGAAAGCATTCTTTGCACTACTAACAAAAGTTGTTCTTTGGGTCGAAATAATACTAGTTTTATAGAACAGCTTTGATTGTTTTTTTAATAAAAAACCTTTGTTATAAAGCAAAACAAGAAATGCTCTTTGACAATCAATTTGAAAACTACAATTTTAAATGAAATTCTACTAAGAAAGCATTCTTTGTGCTACTAATTAAATTATCTTATTTGACATAGTCATTTGATATTCAAAAAAATATAAATATAGCTGGATTTCCAGTTTGGTACAAAAAAAAATTATTTCTTGTTAATTTTATTATAATAATAAACCAATAACCAAAATGGCAAAAAAAATTTTTATTCAAAAGAAACATCGAATAGTACAATTTACTTCATATCATTTTAATTGAGAGGAGTTTAACTTTTTAATTGCAAGTTATTTTGAGAAAAATTGCCCATTTAAAAGATTTGTTTATCAATATGAACGAAATTATGATTCAAAAAAAGAAAAAGACTGTCATATTCAAGGATTTTTATGGCTAAAAGAAGCAACCCGCATTGGAGCATTTCTAGAAGCAGGTGAAGAATATGGTAAAAAGAAATTAAAAAAACCAAAAAAAGATGGAATTAAAAACTTATTTCAAAATAACAAAATCAATTTTGAACCAGTTAATGATTTTGAAGAAACTATCGCATATTGTAAAAAGAAATATAACAAATGCAAAATTCATAACAGACAACAAATTGAATTAAGATTATTAGATTCTGATCAAAAAAAAGAAACAATTAAAGATAAAGATTCTAATATACAATTAAAAATTTGCCGATGTTCATATGATAATTTAAATGATTTAAACGAATACATTTGGTGTGATGAAAAATGTTGTTTACAGCAAACATTAGCAAGATATGATGATGAATCTGGACCATTTGATTATCCATTAAATGATTCTAGCACTATTAAAAAAGGAAATAACAAAACTGGAAAAAATCAATATATCTCTCATAATTCTGAAAATTATACTACCGCATCCGAAATTATGAATGATCTTTTTGAAAATGATATATCAGCTGATGAAGCAATTGTTAAACATGCGAAAGATAATCCACAGTGGCTTGAAAAAAATCCTGTAAATATTAAAATTGTTCGTGATGCAATTAAAAGTGTAAAAAGAAAGAAATTAAATACAAAAAGATATTGGAGACCACTTACATTTTATTTTTACAGAAACAGAGGATCTGGAAAGACTGGGTTGGTAGAAGAGTTGTTTTCTAATAGTAAAGAATTTTACTCAAAACCAAAAAAACAAAAGAATGGTTCTAGTTGGTGGAATAATTATAATAGACATGAAATTGTTTTTTTAGATGAATTTTATACAAAGATTGAGTGGTCTGATATGGTGAATTTGCTAAATGATACTGAAGATTGCACTGTTGAAAAGAAAAATCAAGGCTTCGAACCATTTCTAGCAAAATATATATTTTTAACAGCTACAAAACCTCCTGAAGAAGCATATAATTTTTCACGAAATACTGAAGAAGATGATAATAAAAGAGATTTTGGTCAATTCTATTGAAGGCTTGATTATATAATTAAATTCTCTGGAACATGGAATGATGAATTAGAAAAACGTACAACACAATTTAAAATTGAAAAAGGTGATGAGCAATCTTTTAGAAATATGAATTGAGATTTAAAATATCGAAAAAAAGGAGGTCTTACAACTGAAGAATTAGTTGAAAAAGTGAAAGAATTAAATAATGATATTGAAGGTGAAATCATTGTAAAAGAAGATAATCAAGTATATTGGCGTCGAAATTTTCCAGAATTTAAAAAAAAATATTTGCATGATTATCCTCAATGTAAAGAATTATCAGAATATAAACAAGAAATTGAAAACTCAAAAAAAAGAAAACTAGAAGAAATTGATTCA